CAAATCCTTAGCTGTACTGTATTACCTAAACGAGTAGGCATGCCTTTTCTCTTTTATCTTAGCTTTTCGGTTTTACCCTAGTCTTGATTCTTTGGTTGGAGTAGGGCATTAGTTTCTATATTTTGGAATCAGCCCTCAAATAGAAGGGCAGCTCGTAAGAGACTTTCATTATTGTATTACTTGGTTCTATTCTTCGCGTCCATAGTTTTTAAGATAAACCAAGATTGATTTGTTATCAAACAGTGGTGCGGTGTACAAAATTTTGTCCAGCCAAACCTGGACGGTGGACATTGATTATTGTGTAAGATACCATTTCAGTGTGATCTCGAGGAATCGATGAATTGTGACATGTCGTTTTATGTTTATTTGGAAACAATTTACTCTGCTTTCATATATTTTTTGTTAGTGGTCTTGCATCTTAATACAACTTAATGGATTCTCTCTTAGAATCACCAAGGAACTGGAATCAAAGGTTCCACCGAAGGATATTCCAAAGGACAAGGAAAAGCACTAGTGTTGATATGAGCTTCTTGTGTTGTTCACAACAGTTTACTACTCGTTTATTTCTCTCTTCTAAGGAAAAGTTCATTATATGATGGCATTTCTTTAGGAATAAGACTTGACCTGGATTTTCTGTTCATAAAATGTCTTATCTTGTTTATCGTAGTTGATTTTTGGTCTTTAGATATGCATATATGTAACTATTAACCGCGAAGAAAGCTATCGCCTGTTAATTGGAGGTTTCTTGTTCTTATGAGTGTAATTTTGTAGCTAGTAATGCTCGTAGTTGTTGTACCACGGAATATCCACTGCGTAAGATCATCAAACCTTGTCAAGTTTTGTGTTGTTTTACTCCGATCTTTTACCTAATTTTCAGCTGTGAACGTTGTACGCTTGGCAGAATTGAACCTATTCTTGCATTTCTGTTTAAAATTCATTCAAACAAATTTACACCTAAAAGTTTCTCAACTTCTAGTCACCAGCAGATATTACCAGAGTGAGATGACATGCATTATATGCTCGTTTGAAAATGCAAGCACGAGTTTGAAAACGTAAGTCTGGTAAGAAAACATTACAACGTAACATTCTTTGATATTATAGTGATTGGAAAGATCTTATAATGGATTTGTTAAGATCAGTCGGACACGCGCTCATGTTGTTCTTGATCATGGATGTTTTAATGGCCAAGATCAACCCACGATGTCCCTGGTCGCAACTTGCAAGTACCTATTGACCCTAGCCCTCAAAAACATTTTCCAGATGGATTGGAGCCGTGGGTTTTAGGTTTGGTTTTGGTTTTGGTATCCTATTAGACCAACTTTTAATCTAACATAGCATGGTATAATCATCCAACACGCCAAACCATGTGAAACCGTTGCCAAGCATTTTCCTTCCCCTTTTAGAAACCCTAAATTAATGGTAACTGGTAAGCACACCAAATATACATGAACAGAGCTAACTTTTCTTCAGCTAAGTCGTGAGCAATTAAATGTTATGTGATACATAAAATTGGCACGTTAGCTAACACTCACTCTAATACAAATAAACAATTATTATATGCGGATATAGAATTTTGCTTGTAATAAAGAATATGTCAGCAAGTGTATCTTTTGAGATATTTTCTAGTGTGTCGGGAATACGGATCTGTATACCAATGTAATATATAATTGGTTCAAATTTTATTCCCTTGGTTTATCTGCACTCATGGTTATTCAGCCTCCCAATGTGCCCGGACATGCTTGCGCGTTGTTTCAATAAAAAGGTAATTTCGATTACCACTTGAGGGCTTTACTCACTCTGCAGAACATATAATTGAAAAAGAATTGAAAGAGTTTCCAACATTCTGGCAATTTAAAGTTTCCAACAAAGTGTATTATACTTGATACACTAAATCGTATTTCCAGCATACTGAAAAATTTCTCCTATCCTCATAATAACATCACCCATCTATTATTAGACGATTATTATCACCATAAACACGAAGTAGGTGAGAGCATCCCACCGACAATGGCACAATAAACCCAATGTCCATTTGGTGAACAACCCACCTGATCCCTTTCCAAACCCTAATTCCGCTCAACCTCCATCCAACAACTTTTAAGCCCTTTTCTTAATCACTCTCCCCATATATTAATTCAACCCAACTAACAAAAAGCTCCAAGCCTTCAAACCCTCCATCCAAAAACTCCGAAAAAATATACGATTTCCACGAAGAAAATGGCTAGTGGCAAGCAACTTGTTGTTGAAGACAAGCAGCGTGCCGGGGCCGAGATCGTTTACGGCCCCGAAGATTGCTACCGGCAGTCCATAGACCTACTACATGAGCTAGGGTTTCCCAAAGGTGTCCTCCCCCTGCAGGACCTCGTGGAGTGCGGGAGGGTCAGAGAAACTGGGTTCGTGTGGATGAAGCAGAAGCAACCCTACGAGCACTTCTTTGAGGGAGGGTCCAACACACGTGTCAGCTGGAACCAAGACACTGGGTACGTGGAGAAGTGCAGGATGAAGAAGATGACTGGGATCAAGAGCAAGCAGGTTTTTCTGTGGGTCCCCATATCTGAGATGAGTGTTGAGGATCCGGCGGGGAAGAAGATCGTTTTCAAGACTCCGATGGGGATCGGGAAGTCTTTTCCGGTCACGGCGTTCATGACGGAGGAGGAGAAGCGGAAGTATTTGGAGAAGGTCAATGAATGAGGTTAAGGAAATTAATGGAGGGTTTTGAGGTGAATTTGTGGGGGTTAATTATATGGTTAAATAAAAATTTATCTTTTTTATTATATTTTTCAAAGCCGTCATGTGTGAAACTTTATATTAAGCCACTTACAAAGTTACACTCGTACATGAAAGTTGGTTTTACCTCAAAAATTAGACCTGATATTCGTGTCGTGTTTTCCGTGTTCGTGTTGTTTTTGTGTCATACCCAATATCTTAATGGGTCGTGTCGTGTAATACGCGTTAAAATAAACGGGTAAAATGACCAGACCTGAAATCGACCCGATAATATTAACAGGTAATATGACCCGACTCGTTATCCGTTAAGGAAAATATATTATAAACCAATAAATAATAAAATGAAAAACATAATACTAAATAAATATATACGTATCATATTGTCACATTCAAAACATAAAAACTCAATTTTCTTTTAAATATATTTCACTTATTTAAAGTCTTTAATAGTTTTTTAATTAATGTAGAAGTGTAAAAAAATATAGAAAAAATATATAAACGCTCGTAATAACAAGCTTTACAACTTTCATGAAGAGCTTAACTTCGAAATTCACCACTATAATCATATAAATCATAGATCAAAATTTAACCGTTGATTGTTGTTTATATTTACGCTTCATTGTTCTCATCAAATTTTGTTTTTTTTTTAGATTTTGTTTTTTGAAAACTTGATATATTAGAGGATGTAGGAAGATGAACGGTTTAGATCGTTGATATTATATTCAGAGTTTTACGGTTAGTGAAAATATTGCTTGATGTTTATAAAGTTTCTACAAACTATATGACATCGACTCATATTTCAGTTAACCATAAATATCAAAACGTGATTAAAGATCTGAACCGTTCATCTTCTTACATCCACTAGATGATTATGTTTTCAAAAAAGAAAATTTAAAAAATGAAATTCAGTAAGAAGAATAAAGCGTAAATAGCAATTGACGGTTAAATATAAATTTAAGGTTTATGAATTATAGTGTTGGATTTCGAAGCTGACCCCTTCATGAAAGTTGTAAAGTTTGTCACTATGAGTGATTGTATATATTTTTTTTTACATTTTTTACACTTCTACAATAATTATTATTAATTTTATTAATTTTGCCCTCAAATAAAAAACACTATTCATGAAGATTTGGAGGATTTTAAAAATCTAAACAATAATGTAAGTGCATTATCTACTCGTGGAGGAATAATGATGAATCACGAGTGTTTATATATTGAATCACGAGTCTTTATATATTCTTTCACATTTTTCATACTTGTATGTATGTCTTCTTAGTTCTTGCCTATACAAATACTATATTAGTTTATTTTAATTTTGGACAACAACATGTTAAGTAAAATTTATCCTAATAATGATAATAAGGAACTCTCATAATAAAAATAAATAATGACTAAAACTTTTTTTTAAAACTTATATAGAATAATAATACAAAACTATATATTTAATATAAAATATATTGTATATATTAATATGGCTATTGTATTTTATAATAAATCTTTTAGTAATTAAACTTTAAAATTATCAAAATAATTTTTTTCTTAACGGATCGAACGGGTTACCCACGTGTTACCCGCGTGTATACCAGTTAAGAACTTGTTATTAACAGGTCACCCGATAATGATCTAATAAGTTATCGTGTTGACTCGAAACCCGTTATTTTTGTGTCGTTTTCATGTCGTGTCACCGTGACGTGTCATAAACTGCCGGGTCTATCCAAAATGTCATTTATTCAGGATTAATGTGACGACGGACGAAGAGATAATAGTAATACTCGTGTCATTGAAGTCACTCCTTTGATGTGTGAAGGTTTATATAAAGTTACCAAAACATTGTACTAACAATTAAACTTCATAAGACCATCATTTCTAATTTCCGAATTAGCTATAATTTTATATGTATTTCATAATAACAGTACATGAAAGTTGTTTTTACCTCCAAATGTCATTTACTCGGGTTAATGTGATGTCGGAAGAAGAGATAACAATGATACTCTTGTCATTGAAATCACTCTTTTTGATATATGGAGGTTTATATAAAGTTTTCAAAACATTGTACTGAAAATTAAACTTCATAAGACCATCATTTCCAATTTCCGAATTAAATGTACGATTATTATTTAAGGAAAATTAATGAAAAGGGCATGAAAATTTTGAGTTTTAATGATAAGGATAAAATAAAAGGTAAAGTGAATAGTACCATGATTGACTTTTTAGTGTAAAAATATGGTTTTTTGTTAAAATAAATAGTACCAGGAGCTTTTCGTTAAAATTCCCTTATATTTATTTTAATATAATCATAATCTGTTCGTAGGAAAAATAACGAAAGGAGAAAGAAACATTTTTTTGTGGTCTTTCCAAAAACCACTCCTCAAGCGATCCACTAAATACAAAACCAACCAACCAACCAATGGCCACTGGCCAGAGCCTACCTTGGCAACTCACCACCTCTCTCCTAATTACGCCACGTGTCCCACCTCCACAGCTACACTCGCCTCCCCGCCTGCTCCCCCCTCCACGTCACCTCATCGCCGCCCCCATGGCCCATCCGTCCCTCGAAATCCTCGGAGGCGGCTGCGACCTCTTCCTCCCCGCCCTCACCACCCTGACCCGACCCTACGACCCGTATCCGGTAATCGGGTCGAACCGCCACGTCGAGACCATATTCGCTTCGTTCTACAGGTCCACTCCCGACGTCAGGCTCCGTCGCGAATGCCTCCGTACTGCAGACGACGGTGCCGTTGCCCTCGACTGGGTATCCGGTGACGACCGCCTTTTGCCCCCCGACTCCCCCCTCCTCATTCTCCTGGTTCGTTCGTTCTCACATTTCTCTTCCTTTATTTCCTGTTTGTTTCCCGGAAAATTACAAAAAAAAAACAGAAAAAAAGGGGAAAACTTTTGAGTTAGAAATTGAGTTTTGGATTTTGGGTAATGGGTGTTTTTGCAGCCTGGTTTAACTGGAGGGAGTGATGACTCGTATGTGAAGCACATGCTGGTTCGCGCCAAAAGTAAAGGGTGGCGGGTCTTGGTGTTCAACAGCCGCGGTTGCGGCGGCAGTCCTGTAACAACTCCTCAGGTATTCTCACTTGGCCCAATCAGTTTTCTAGTTTTTCAATTGAACCCAATTCATGATCCCAATTAACATTTTTTGCTGCATTGTTTACAATTGGCAAGATTGATACTTGTTGTAATGGGGTTGTTGTTTTCGAGTTCAGATTGTTTTTTTGGTTCTTAATCGTTGATGGGAGTTTTATGCTAAAGATTTGAACTTTTTGATGTGGTTTTTAAGCCAGCTTTGTGATTAGTTATCTTATGGCGCTGATATGCAGTTCTATTCGGCTTCATTTTTAGGAGATATGTGTGAAGTAGTGGCTCATGTTGGTACTCGGTATCCGAAAGCTAATCTCTATGCTGTTGGTTGGTCTCTTGGCGCTAACATTCTTGTTCGCTACTTGGGTCAGGTACAGTGTAACTTCTCTCATTTCCTCTCACATTCTGTCTGTATAGTTTGTGATTGACGAATCGCTTTCAGGATTTCGTTTTGTTCGTTTGGATCATTGATTTGCACTAAAAACTTTTGGTGTCTGTTGCTTAGAAGGCAGTAATCTAGCTAGTTGTAGAAAGCTGTTGTTTCTGCTCAACGGAATTCATAAATGCCTTTAAGACCAACAAATGACGTGTTGAGCTGACACTAAGCTATAGAATGGTGTACTAGTTGGATTTGGTTTGTCACGCAGTCTGCACTTGGCATGTAAATATAGAGCTAATGTTAGTCATATATGTCCATATAGTAGCGTTCTATGGCCTTGAATTTTCAATGAAGTTACATCTTATCTTCACTTATAAATAGTCGGACCTACCATTTGCACTGGGATTTTCTTTAACGTTTTTTGCTCCACTTGCATTTCATTTATATTCCAATGATGTGGTACCTGCAGGAATCTAATGCATGCCGTCTTTCTGGTGCTGTCTCGTTGTGTAATCCTTTCAATTTGGTCATTGCAGACGAGGACTTCCATAAGGGCTTTAATAATGTTTATGACAAAGCTCTTGCAAGTTCACTGTGCAAAATTTTCAAGAAGTAAATATCATGCATTATTAATTTTATGTCTTGAGATCAATATCTTGCAAGTTCACTCTCAACAGTTATTTCAGCTTGAGATCAATAAATAACCCAATTTTACGGGACTACATTGTAGGCATGCTCTACTCTTTGAAGACATGGGTGGTGAGTACAATATTCCATTGGCTGCCAATGCAAAGTCCGTCAGGGAGTTTGATGATGGACTAACTCGTGGTACGTATATTGTGTACGTGAAACCATTTGATTTCAGATGGGATAACACGACATTCATCTGATGAGAACACCTTCAATGAAAACTTGCAGTTTCATTTGGCTTCAAGTCAGTAGATGACTACTACTCCAATTCCAGTAGTTCAAATTCCATAAAGGATGTCTGCACCCCATTGCTTTGCATTCAGGTACTTTTCTCTCGAACATTTCATATGGTTAATAGAAATTTTATGAATCTTGCAGCCGATGTTGAAGTGTGTAGATTCTAAAAGCTTCGTTTTTATTCTGGTTAAATTTATAATGGACTTGTTATAAAAAAACATGAGACACATCGAGCCTGGGCATATCTGTTTGGCGGTGTATTCTTATACCCAGTTTGGTAGGAATGATAGAAAAGGGAGAGCAAAGGAAAGATGCAAGATGTTAGTGACGGAAGGGAGATTGTCAATCCTTGAAGTTGCTTATTTGAGTGGAAAGGAAGAACAGAGGGATAAGGAACCCCATGCCCAGTATAATCTCTCCCTCTAACAATGAATAGATTGATTGAGGGATTGATGAGCATAATAAGCACAAGTTATGACATTACTGTTTTTTTTTTCTATCTTCAATCCACTTTATGGATGGATAGTGGTAATCCATAGCTTTATATTATATTTCACACTGCTTATCCCTTTCGAAACAAGAAGAGGACAGAACTACTTCTTTCCTTCGTCATGACTTACCATATCCATCCTTTAGAGTTATGTCTTTTCTATCGAACATAGTGTTCTTAATTTGATTGCATGAGTGGAATAATTAAAAGCGTATTCAACTAACTTAAATGAGCTTTCACTTATTGTTCTTATGGGTTTCAGGCGGAAAATGATCCAATTGCTCCAAACCGGGGAATTCCTCGTGAGGATATCAAGGTTTGTAGTGTCTCGAGACCAAGATACTATTTTCTAAATTACGTTCAACCTTAACTTTGGATGAGGGCCTTAATAGTGCGATGAAAACTGAGGAAATATTTGTTAGGAATGCTCTAGAAAAGTCAGATAGAGAGACTTGGAAATGACTAGATGCAATACATATGAGAGAACTTCCGAATGACTCCTTGAAAGGTGTCATTTAAGATTCTGCTTTTAAGTGGCCTATTTAGTGTTTTAGTAGTGGCTTTGTAGTGCTCGAGTAGTTTATTGGCAGTGTTCTTGTATTGCATTTTTAGCAATCTAGTGTAGAGTTCCTTGGTATTTTGAAAGTCCCTCATCCAAACATAGGGATTAGTGGTTTATTTGTTAATTCTCCAATAGTTCTTGTATTTTGTTATTTTCAATATAATTCAGCATATGTAATGCCGTATACACCAAGATAAACCACAAATTTTGAAATACTAACTAACGTGATAGGGTTTAGGGGAGAAGGCTGCGTGGACGGATTGTTCTAGACTGAACATACCCTTAAAAATGAATTGACTAGGGAGCCTCTCTTCCTTGTAAAAATTCAACGGACCCCATATGCTTGGGATTTTTAGAAAATCTAAAGAAAGAGGTCATTTTCCTTAGATCAGTTGCATCAAATGGATTGGTGGACTGTTGAGCTACCCTCGTGTTCCCTCTGCTTGTAAAGAATATTTCTTTGGACATATCTCGTGTGATCTCCTTCTATGTACTATCGGCATTTTGATATAGTACATCGCTTACTGTTTTCACAGGACAATACAAACTGCATGTTGATAGTCACACCCAAAGGTGGCCACCTAGGGTGGGTTGCAGGCGCTGAAGCTCCATTTGGAGCTCCTTGGACTGATCCAGTCGTCATGGATTTCCTTGAGCATCTGCAGAGAGGAAAACTTGAGGCCTTTTCAACTAGTAATTTGGAAGGTGTGCACCGGAGTTCAGAGGGCTTGCACATCTTGGAAGTATAGTTGGGAAAAACTTGATTCTTGCTATATACATACTGTATTTTTTTCTCAGACTACTCATAAGAATGTAGAGGTCGCACTTGGTGCGATGGCAAGTGCCTTCGCCCATGAGCGGTAGGTCTCGGGTTCGAGACTTGGGAGCAGCCTCTCCATAAATGGGGGTAAGGCTAGCCGACATTCACCTCTCCCAGACCCTGCGTAAAGCGGGAGCCTTGTGCACTGGGTACGACGACTACTCATAAGAATGTGATGGAATATGATCATTTCAATACAAATAAGCTAAAATCACATGATTCTTTGTACTTTTATGCTGTTGTACATTGCAGCTTAGCATGCAATTATGCCTCGGATCGACCTTTTCTTTTAATTATGATGCACACTTAATGTAATCCATTATTCATATGGAGAAAACTTCATCAGTGTTGAGTTATATATTCTTCAAGAATGCGAAACGTGTAGTGGTGCGAGTACGTTGTCTTCGGCGCCTATGATGTTCGGAAGAAAGTTCATCAGTATTAAGTTTTGGTATTCATTTCACATGTGTTTCTTTCTAATATCTACAACACAGTAGCTCCACTTTAAATCTTTAACGTCTTTCTTATCCAACTGTTGGGGATCTCTTTGGTTTCGTCCTCCCAATATGCCAAGAATCATTGGGTGCTTTTCGTTTAAGTGCTTTTTCTTTTTTTTGTGTGCGCTTTTGCTATTGGAACTTGTGATGACTTAGCCTCGATTTGCTTATTTATCTATCGGTGCTCCTGTCATGGAAATTGATAGTGTCTAGTGAGGGAGCCCTTGCGTCATTGCTTTTGCTTCTGTAAATATAGTAATTTAATTGATTTGGTATAATATCTATAATTATCTAAACTAACGCATAATCTGATAATTTCCTTTCTGATTCAGACATGAAAATTTTCCACAACTCAATTGCAATTCTTCTTCAAATTTTCAGAGAATATTATTGTGTGGGTGATTGACCAACCTAAGCAAAGCTCATAATAATTTTCCCCTTGAAGGGTAGGATGAGGACAATTTGAGGTTGGATCGAATTTTGGACAACTTAAATGTGAGTATGAACTTGGACATTTTTTAGAACTCAAGGTTTCGAACTTTCAAACTCCTAAAGAATGCTAATTTCAACTTTTTATCTTTCATTTTGTGGCTAAATAAACTTGAATGAGACAATTCCTTACTGACAATATGGTCATAATTTCAAAAGCAGAATAAATATTCAATACTAGGAATCGGACTACCAAGAAAGAAAAATGAGAAAAACAAATGAGAGTTATAAGTTCGAAAAATACTTTTGGATGTTATAATGTATTCAACAAATTCGCACATGAATAACACACAAAATATAAAACACAAATAACAAAGTAATACTAATATCGTATTAAGAATGTGCATATTCAACACACAATATAATATTAAAACTCAAAATTTTATTGTCTAGATAAAGAATTTAGTATGTAGTACTGAGTAGAACAAAAAAAATAAATAGATTAAGATTGAAATGAAAATCAGATAGTTACTTTAGCATTAAAAATATTGTGTATTGAGCCACGTAGAAACCGTGTTACAAAACAAGTAGGACCAGAGAGCACATGATATGATTGTGATGTCTTGATTGATGAAAATCCAGTTTAGGTCACATGATCCTTCTGATCCCTTCTATTAATTACTAAACAATGTGTATTGGATTATGCGCGGGACAATTGGGTGGGTTGGGGGTTGGCATCCTATAAAATTGTACTAGAAAATTAGGGTTTGAATTATTATGTGTATTCTTCTCTTAAGGAGGCACTATGTATACAAACTATACAATTTACTAGGCTTAAACTTTAAGCCTATTTATTCGTGATTGTCTTTGACGATTCATCTATTCCAGAGCAGTTTAATGGTTAGCCTATCCGCATTATTCGAAACTTTCGTAAAACTCATCGTTGAAAATTACAATAATAATTTGGCATTATGAGTGGAATTATTAAACTAGTCAAATATATATAAACTATATAGTTGAATAGAGTTACAAGAAATTCCGTAACAAGAAGAAAATTTCAATTATTAAAAAAATTACAATATTAATTATAAAAAAGAAATCTCTGACTCACGCGAACAGAACAGATCCATCAAGTCATGTTTTCCCTAACAAACCCTTCACACACGTCCTGGTTCCTTGTGCCATCCAAAATTCAAAAAGCAAAGCCTCCAAGATCGAAGCAACACAACGTTGCCACGCTTTTTAGTTTAGTGTGTGATATTCACACATTTTATTTTATTTTTCATATATTTTTTTAATTTTTAGTTGTCGGATCAGATAAATTAAAGAAAATCAATAGATATAAATTAACAAAAAATGTGTAAGAAGTAAAATGAGATATGTGATTGCACACCCCTTTAGTTTTTGTCCTTTTGGTTAATTTTCTTCCACTTTTTCTGAAGTTTCAATGGCCATGTTTCGGATAAGATTCTAATTAACTAGTAATTGCTAATGATATAGATAATTTAGATTAAGATAATTGGGGATTAAGATACATGGATCATGATCATTGATGATTAGGTCCCATTCCTTGACCCATCTCATTTGTTTCTACTGGACCATCTATTGCACGTTCATTACTTAGCACGTGTTAAATTTCATTTCGTGAGGGAGGCTTTTTTGCCTCAATTTATTTATTTTTGGATGGATATTTTGTGGAGAGCGTCAGCTGGGGTTGTGGATCCAAATTTGAGACTGAGAAATGTGTCCAAGGTCCAATATTCATTTAATTTTGTTCATAGCTTGACTTTTCCATGCATATATGTGAATGAATCATCATCTTTCTCCCTTCTACTTGTTTGTTTGTGAACTCGATGGTTTCTAGTAATAATCTCTCTCATCAGGGTCATTGTAATACACCAATTTGAGCAAAAAATTGTACTAAAAGACAAAGCATCTAACAGACCACCGTTTTTGCAACAAACTTCAAGTTTAAGATTTTCTATGTTTACAACATTGATAATTCTACACAGATTAAGGGTATATGCTAAGATCCAATTTTTTGTTGTTCTTGTTTTGAATTCCATATCATTTGCTGATTATTATTTTTATACGGTTAGGGTTTGGATAAGAACCCAAATCATAATGTCACAAGTGCGTGGCAATGCTATTTGATTGCTACCTAAGATCAGAAGTGCTGTGTGGACTTTTCTTATAAACACAAAGGTGACTAGAATATGAATAATCATGATTATATGATAATTATTCCAATAAGGTTGACACTTTATCATGACAAAGCTTTAATTTATATATTTTGCTATCTACTAGCTAGTCATGTGATACCTTATCTTCTGACTAATGCATATGTACAAAATCATTACTGCAAGTTTATTGTTTTTATTAGAGAAAAACTAATGAAAAAGGCTTGAAAACTTTTAGTTTCAACGATAAGGACAAAATAAAGTGTAAAGTGAATAGTACAATGTTTGACTTTTTAGTGTAAAAATGTGGGTTTTCGTTAAAGTGAACAGTACCGCGGATTTTTCGTTAAAACTCTCTATTATTAGTTAATGGATTCTTTTTGGATTTTTATTATAAAAACATCGATTCTTTTTGTCTGTGTTAATTCTAAACTACTAATACTATTTAGTTAATATGCATATAGAGAATCTCAATGTATATGTATATGATATTATAATATACCATATTATATATTACATATATTTTATATACATATACACACACACATACATACATACATAGGGGTTAGGATTGAAGGCACACGATTTTAATACATATTTTTGTGAGGTCCACTTTGTATATTTTAAAGAACCGTTTATTTTTTATGTCTTACCTCAAAAGTTATGTACACTAAAAATCATCTAAATGCGAAACCAAATGACGTTTGATTAAATTTAGTGTTTCTTTTTAAAACTGTATCCATTCATTTGTTGGATCGTTAAAATGCATTATAAAGTGGACTCCATAAATAAGTGTTAGAATGTGTGTAAAAAACGTGTCTCTAGATCCTAACCATACATGGAGTGACTAGTAAAGTACTATGGTGGTGGGATAGAAAATAACAGAATTGAACAAAGGTGGATAACGTTCCACGTCGACTGGGAAACGAGTTGTCTGAACAATTAAACAAGGATAATGATTGTGCTTTCTGTCATGGGTTCGGCATTATCTCATTGGGACCATGCCTGCTTATAATGCTTGGAAGTAAAATGATGGTCCGTACTAGTTGCAAATAAAGTCTTGGAACTCTTGGAAAATAAGATGTGCTTGAACTTTATATTATGTGCTTACAATCGCAAGAAATACGATTGTATGAAGTGCATGCAACCCTAGTGAAAGACCAGTCGCATTGAAACAAAAAAAAGAAAAAGAAAGGGAAATTGAAAGAATCCAAATTACGAGCCAAGTTCCATGCATTTAGCATCCTTTTTAGGATCACAATTTTTTTACTTTGACACTATAATCTATCACTTGAAAAATTCTAGTTTTCAAAAAAAAAAAAAAAAACAAAAAATTACTTGGAAAATTCCAGAATCGCTTGTCAATCTTGCATTTGAATCTTCTTGATAATTTTTTCCGTTCTTTTCTTGTTTTTTGTTTTGTTTCGCTGCATCTAAAGAATATGAGTATGTGTTTTAGAAAGTTTAGACATGATCTCTGACTTTTATCAGTAGTTCATGAAATGTCCATGGAAAGAAGATAAGCATAACGAGCGTGACTGGCAGTACTACTATGAATCCTGCTTAATTTGATGACTACGTACTAAAGAAAAATTTAACAAATTAGATCCATGATCTAGTTATTTTCCTGCATTAACATACATAATTTATTTTCTTTGGCATTTCCATTACAGATGTACGTACCCTTGTTTTTATCATTTTCTGTATGCAAATAATTAGTATTTTATCCTTGTACTTTCATTTTAGTATCATGTAAATTGTTACATTCTTAATGAAGAAAGTTGATCTTCTCGTCCCAATTAAACCATGATCTTTGGACTTTAGACTCGACCCTTGGCCTCGAAACCCTAATCCTTGATCTGTGAAATGGTCTAAGGAGACTCTCTCAAGAGTGACTTTCCATAGACTTTCTACCATCTCATATTTTTGGCATAATGTTTTATAATGTTGGTATGGGTCAGGAATTGATGTTGAACTGTGATATGGCAGAGAGCCCATGAAGAGTTTTACTTTGAAAGAGTCTCCTTAGAGCATTTCCAAAAGGAGATGTCAAATATAATATGTCAAAATTTTAGTTGATGGGTGATGCAGCCAATTTATTTTATTTTATTTTTTGAACAATCGATATTATTTAGACCAAAATGGTTGGGGAGGGAGTGGATTAGCCTCACAATGGGCTTGCAATAATATGATTCAACTTTGTCTTTGGTTAGAATCAAACCTAAGACCTCTCACTTACAAGCGAAGAGAAATACTACTAGATCGTAGTACT